GGTGTCTGTGGCTTGCCTTCGTCCGTGGGCCGGGAGGCGGGGGCTGGAGCGCACACGCCGCCTGTGTCAGGCGTGCCAGCACGCCGCAGGGGGGCAGGAGAGAGCAAGGTATCTCCACCCCGAGGCCGGTGCCGAGCTCCGCGGCGGGGGCAGGCACCCCGAAACCCCCGGTGATCTCCGGGGGAGCTGCGGGCCCTGGGCCCGGCGCAGCCGCGGCGCTCGCCTCCCGCTGCCCGTTGCAGGGTGGCGGAGCCGGCAGCCGGCGCTCTGAGCTGGGCGTGAGGTACCGTTGCAACGCTGCAACAATTGCAATGATGCATGTTACATCACCGCGCTGTTTCAAATCCGTATTCGGTTAGAGATCCTGTAAGGCTGCTTTGCTTCATCTCGGAGCTCACTAATCCAATTTTAAAAATGGAAAAAAAAAATTGTCTCACCGCAGTGTTGGAAAGAAAGGGTCGTTTCATAATGATGATGTTTTACAGGCATACAGCCGTAAAACAGCCGCTGGGCTGAAGTGTAGCTTCATGGTGTTACAGCAGCTTTGAGCGCTGTGCCAATAGTAACAAGCAACGCTTGTCAGACTGGGTGCAGAGCGACAGGAGCCCACTTCCAGCATGGGGAATTTATCGCAGTGGGGAGATTTTGCCACCTACCATTGAGGGTATCTCTTGAAAGGCTTTTATGCCTCCGTGAGCCCTGTCTCGCCAAGGTTTTAACTGCTCCATCAGCAGCACTGTACAAACGCAGGGCAAGAGGCAATGCAGAAGCAGCGAGGTGGTGTGACCTGCCAAGAGGCGTAGCTCCAGTCTTCCCAGCTCCATCCAGAGGTCTCGTGGGGCTACGTTACCTGCCACGGGATGGGCCTTGGCTGCAGTTGAAACATTTATCATGCCTTCCAGGTACCTGATATCTTATTTGTTCCAGTTAACACCCGCAGCCTGTAGTAGTAGTTTCCATTCGAAACCTTTGTTTGAAAGCAGAGGAAGAAAAAACATGTCTGGCATGCCACACCTCAGGCTGTCAAGAGGCAAGGAGCCTTATAGCTGCAGGAAAAACACTCACTGCTGGGACCAGGACGTGCCCACTGGCTACCCACAGCAGAAGGTCTGGCTCTGCCTTGCACGCCTGCTGATTTTGCTGGTCCTGAATAGAAAACTCCCAACAGCCTTTGGATTGAGGAGACCCCATAAATCTCTTGGAACAGTTTCACACTGCTTGGAGCACAGTGCATGGCTACCGCTACAGAAGTCAGCAGCCTGTAGCTGCTGGGGGACATGGCTGGTGGTGGTGAACGGGAAAGCTGCAAGTCCAAATGATAACTGTGCCTGCTCCATTGCAACCCCTCTGGCCATCCTCCCTTCGTGCACAACCTTCCTGTTTCATACCAGACTGGCAGCGAGGGGTTTGAAAGTTGGGGAGTGGTTTCATCTTCTTAAGCAGTGACATTCTTTTAGAACAGGACTTACCTATCATATGTTCCCAAAGGTAAAAACATATTGAAGCTTTTCAAGAAGACAGCTATGCCTCTTAAAGTGAACTTAGTGCCTACATTTCTAAAGACAACTTCTTATGGAGACTGCAGACTTGCCATGACCGTAACTCCATGAATCAAAGATAAGAGGCATCAATGCTGTTTCCCCCAAACAGTTTAGCAATGAAATAGTAAAATTCAAAAGGATTTTTAATGTCTTGGCCTGGGAGAGGAGTTGTCAGCTGGGTCAGAAGTAGTGCCTGTGGTCAGAGACCCAGGGTGCCAGTAACGCCAGCCTCAGGAAGGGGCACATTTGGCTCTGAAACCTTTTGCAGTGTGTTGGGGTGGGTGGTTAAATTGATTTCTGAAGTTGTGGGCCCACTTCTTAATTGCAGGTCTAGATTATGTAGAAAGATCCAACCACACATCTTCCTATATGCTGTCTCATTTCAAAACTGCAAATGCAAGGGAAAGGTCACCATTGGGAAATAATGCCACAGTTTTATAGGTTCTTTCAGCACTCTTGTGAACATAAATTGAGCAACAAAATATCTGCTAAGAAGATTTTTCTCTAGAGTTGTTCATTTTCTTTTTTTCCATGGTGGGAGATTTTTAAAAGAGGAAGGACTGGTAAGAATAAATATTTCAGATTATTAGAATTGGCCCTAAAGGAACCTGTAATGACATATTACTGCTTTCGACACTGGGAAATCGGGGAACATGGCAGGAACATGTGCGGATCCTTGTCAGCCCTTGGGAACCTGGGTCCTGGACAGAAACCCTGTTAGGTAGGCTACCTGACAAGCAGATGGTCATTAAGCTAATGTATGAGTAAAAATGCTGCTGGCAGGATGCTAGAGGGCAAAAAGAATATCTACCAAGTTAAGGCTCTTAGGTTATTTTAGGCCAAAAAGAGATGTTACAGGAAGAACACTCAAAGGAAACAACGGGAAGAAGTCAGAGGAGGAAGCTTTAGCTCCCTAAAACAAGAATGGACCATCTTGAGTAATCACAGAATAATACAAGTAGAGGTTGGATTTAATCTGTCTCCACACAGGATAGTAAATTAGACACATCTATTTATCAAATTTGTCTTTAAAACAGAAGTTAGAAATTTAAGGAAGGATTTTGCCTCAGAGCAACTTCCTTCTGGCACCAAATGTACTGCTTCCTTACAGTTTAACCCCTGAAGCATAAAGCAAGATTTAGCCTTACCTGGTCACCTCCTAGAAGTGCTTATTACCTTGAAGCTCTGGAGAATCATAGTATTCATATTCTTTTCTTCCAGCTCCAAGTATAAGATTATTTGTATAATATATCTTATATATTATAAGATTGTTTGTATTTTTGTCAAGCAATAGTTGGACTGCAGTACTTATATTTGCTTGCAGTGCCAGATACATCTACATATCATGTGAGGACGACGCAGCAGGTTGTTGCCTTTCTGTATGGAAGAAGGCTTGGAAGTAGTTAAAACTGATACTAAAACTCTGAGAAACCAAGCTAGCAAAAATAATAATGTAGGAAGACGGCTATGGATGGCCTTTATAACACAGTATATTTGCTTTGTGCTGGCTTTGAGAAGGGCTGGACCCTGTGATGACTGCTACAGACATCGGAGTTACTTATGTGCAATTTGGTGTGGCTGTGGCATTAACTAACCCCTCCTCCTTGCGCAGCTCAAAGTCACCATGACCTGTTATTTTGAAAAGGCCTTCTTTTTGTGTCTTAAAAAAACAAGGCAGCTTACTCGCACCGTCGACCTGGAGGCTGCTTGTGCTTTTGAGGGTATGTGTGTGGGCATGTACCAAAGCAAGGGTTGAGTCCCAGACAAACTGCTCCAACAGGCTGCTCATTGACACATGCAGCTCTTTTCTTGCTGCGTCAATTTTTTTTTTTTTCTTTTTGAGCAGGTCAGAAATGACCAGCACAACCAGTCAGTCAGAGGAAGACCAGTGAAGCAGCAGAGAAGCCTGGATGCCTAGGTGTATGGGACCTGCTCTGCCCAAGCGATCTTAAGAACAATAGACTTCCCTGGCTTTCTTCCCAGCAAGCTACCTGAAAATAGCGAGGCTGTATAAGTGGGTTTTCATGGGCCATGCCCAGCCAGGGCTTCCTGGGAGTCACTGTGGATGGGCAAAGAGATCGTGACAGTGCTGCTCCTTCAGCGCTTGGTTATTGCTTCATTACCTTCATGAACACCAAAGCCTCAGAAGTCAGTCTGGTGATGGCTCATTATATTAAATTTAATTACTGCAGTGCTTCTGTCATGACTCAAGAAAATAAGATTTGTGCAATTTCCTTCTCCCCACTAACAACTTTGAACTTTTTTTTTTTTTAAACAAAGAAAATATTAGCTGCAGTTGAAGACCTGAACTGAGAAATTTTGATTAAAATGCCCTCTGGTATTCCCAAAATGGTAAAGGTGCACCTCTCTCAGAGTGTTCTGCTTCGTATCAACAACAGAGGACAGTGGGCAGAGGAGAACAGGCTTTCCCACTGTCCGTTGAATCAGTTAGCCACTGCACTGAAGGAAACACAGTGAGGTTTTATTTATGTGCATGCAGAAAAGACTGTGCCTATCAAATCTGCTTTATTGTTTCAACAGGCTCTGCAACCATAGAACTAGAATGTACACAGAAACATTGCTTTGAGAAAAGAACTGTGTGTTATATACATGTACTTAGTATTGTAGGGCTTTGATTTTTGATTAATTTTCTTAGTAGTCTTCCAGTTAGAAAGGGGGGAGGGTAAAATGTGTTCTGAGACTTGAACAATTGATTTTCCTCCCCTGGAACACACATTAAAATCTACTGCATTGCTGGTTTTATATGCACTAAGGCATTCATTTAAAAAAAAAAAAAAACCTAGAATGAAAAACAAACAAACAAAAAAGAACTGAGATTGAATTGCTCTTCACTTAGTAATACTTCCATGCCAGTGTAAATAAGGTGTCAAATCAAGTTCTGAAGCTTTTTAAATAATATTTTCCTCATTTAAAGCACTGAAAGTCAGTGGAGAATCTGTCTTTAGTGGCACTGAATTGCGAGGAGGGAGGAAAGGAGTTTGGTGTAGTTGGTGTAAAAACCACCATCAGCACTTGGTACACAATAATCAGGATAAGCAGGGTGAAATCTTTTTCACCCCCTCTCCAACTTGACATCA